AGAAAATTCCCTGAATTCCACGTGATCGTGATTATTCAAAGTGACCAATCGAAGTTCAATAGCGCCACCCTCAAAACAACCCTCGAGCGATAATCGAATCGTAACCGAGTAGATAATCGAAGGGTCGTGGAAGCAAGGGCAAGGAGGGATGCTGGCATTTAGAACACGTGGCCAGTCATGGTTTTCCCTTTGGTGAAGCGAAAGTTGCGAACGCGTGATCGAACTTGAAAACGCAATTACGGGAAAATAACCGCAGCGGTAGTGGTTACGTCTTGTGCGTTCACCAGGACAGTATTGATCTTCTGCGTATTTCCCACCATCCTCCCCTATCCCAGCTTCGCTCTTCTGCGTACCAACCCTGTCGACGTATTATCATCCCCCGAAGGACGTTTTGTTTAGACGTAGGCCGCTTTTCCTAGGGACCGATCAATTAATTAGCTGGCGAGAAATTGACTTGTTCAGACAGTTCGAGAGGGTTGAATTAAAACCTTGCTCGACCTTCGCTTCTCTAATTTTCCTTGATTTTCATAATCATTTCTTTGCTCTTACATTTGTTAGTTCTATGATTATCCTTCACTTTTTGTCTTGTTTAACCGGTTAGAGGTTGTTCCTTGGAGGGTTGTTCATTTTATGCTAGACTTTTTACGATTATTCCTCGTCGTTCGCGTTCATGCTGACGAGAATTTGTTTGAGCAGAAAACAGGAAAATTCTTAATTCACTTCGCGGATTCAACGCTCGATTTTAACGATTACTTTTTACCGTTTTATCCCTGCCTTTTGCAATCGCATCGAGTCGTCGACGACGAGAAGCACCCTTGAAGAATTAAATTTCTCGCGGTTTATAGACTCGACTACTCTTTTCTTCGATTCCCTAGATCGTGCGTTCTCGCATTCTTTTTTTCCTTTTTCCTTTTTTCATTTATTTATTTCATTCGGTCGTTCCGTCACGTTATATCTCCCCATAGCACGACTCGTTATGGATTTTATCGATCCCGAGAATTTTTCCACGGCAGAAATTAAATTGCTACCGGATTGCAGAGCGTTTAATGCTTGTAATTTTCTTGCTTTAATCGCAGGTACAGGGTGGAATGAATAATTGATACAGGTAACAGAAATGTCGTTCGTTCCTTGCTACCGTTTCTATCATTTTTTTCGAACGCTTTATTATGGAAATATTTGACAATTTAGCTTTCATTCTTTTACTTTCAATTTCCTAGCAAGCGAGAAAGACACACACGATCGTTAATTGAAATTTCCTAACCGATCGTTTCCTTCCTTTTTTCGCTGCAGTTGAAATTCTCGGATATTTTTTTCACGAGAAATTTTCGAATAACACGGAAAACATGATCTGCTTCGTATTAACGTTGCGATACAAACTCGTCGGTGTGGGATTTTTCTTTTTCCTTTTTTCATAATCCAGCCCACTCGACTTTTCTCGGATTTTTCTTTCTTCCTCTCACGTGTACCTACATTGTCCTCGTTCTCTATTCTTCGAGCAGTTCGTATCTTGTTTTCCACACCTTTTTATCGCGTCTCAAGTTTTCCGTCCAGAGGTTATCGCATGCATTCTGCTCGTATTTCTTGCTCCTTTATCACGGGAATTGTGAACTTCCCGCAGACTCGAATCTAAAGCGTTATTCACGAATTTTGATCCATTTGCAGTTAAAATAAAATATGGAAACGAATGTGGATACGAAATAATAAACGATCATTGTTTTAGGAAACTTGATTGTATCGTTTTTTAATTGATTATTTCGAATAATAGAGGATCATCCTTTAAAACAATCGTAAAGAATATCAAAGGTGGAAGAAAACAGCCGGCCAGAGTTATTCGGTAAAATAGAACGGGAAAGTTTTAATCACTTTACAAGCCGCGCGGAAAAACTTTGATAAATATAATAACCGAAGCGGCGGAGCTAGAGCTTCTGTGAAAACTTGTTAAACTCTTGCGCGCGCGGTTTCGGCAAGGACGCAGAATTATACAGTACCGACACAAAAAGCCCCTGCCACGGATAACTTGTGTGCCTATTATTAATTATTTCAAAGAAATTGCCTCGACATCGTGCTATGTTACGGTCTATGTTTCGCCCCGTTTTGCGAAGATTTAACGCGCGAAAGATTGATTCTTCGTTGATTAATTGACGTACCTAATTAAATTCACCGATGCACCATTAATTATGGGATGGAAATCTAAGGTGCCTTTAGTTTTCTCGAATTCGATAAAAAAAAAAAAATTATTTGACGATCAGCAGAGCAAGGTTTACTGCATAATCGTCCGTTAACGGCGAATCTGATGCAGAGGCAGGAAAGTAAAAAGCCATGTTGGTGGCAAACTCGTGCCGAAATTAAGCCGGAGCTCCGTATCGCGGAGTTGAATTGCAAAACTGCGATCCGGAAGCAACGAGTTACTCGAGTGGTAGTTTAGAAAGCTGTAAAATCGTGGACTAAAAGCGAAACGCGAAAAGCAAAATCCTCGGGGTGGGAAGTTCGAAAATCGCAGGTGTACCGCGATTATACGAAAGCTGGAAGAATTTCCAAATCGGGTGGAAATTAAACGAAGCCCGGCAACGAAGGTGGAACTATTCAGGGGGTTGTAAATTCGCCGGCTGATCTCGGATTAGCGCGAAGTGAATTCGCAAATTTAATGGCTCGAGATCCGTAGTGGCGCGGACCAGAAATTGAATTGTACAAGTCGTAGCCGCAACAGCGAACGTTGTCTCGTAAAATCGAAGTTTCCTAGTTCGCCAATTAATCGCAAAATCGTTGCGACGGCGGTGAGCGTAGCTGTGCGAGGTCCACGTCAAAACGGGATACTAGAGATTTCCTGGTGGGACCGCAAATTCGTCGCCGTAAACCGTGGAAATTCGGTCACGAACTTTCCATCCTCGTCTGACCGCAACATCGTACGTGAAAAATTACGAAATTGACGCATCAAATCTAGAATCGAGCTAATTAATTTTCCTGCAACATTCCAGTTATATTCCATAGCTTTCTTTTATCAATTAAACAAACTGTTATTCCAGGGTGGAAAAACAAAACAAATTGAACGATACAAAAATTCACTTAGTCTGTCGGTTCCAGGTGGCTATTATTTTTTTTACCCGTGAATCAATTTCCCACGCATGCTTGATCGATTGACAAAATCCATCGGAAAAATATTTGCAAAAATCGTATCTCTTTCGAACGGTAGGCTCCGTGTGAAATCTGTTCACGTTCGATTGATCGTTGCCACGCCATTCATGAGGTTGAAACGCGATTAATTAACCGTTCGGGCTGTACGCTCGATTAATCTATCGTTTTTCATTTTTTTTTTTTTTTTTACGGGAATCCTGCCGCGTTCTCCAATAATTCTTTGCCAAAAAACGAATTTTTCATTTGTTCAAAGGGGTGAATTAAAGGAAGAAATATACCAATTTATCGCGAGAACGACGATTTTATTGGTAATAAAGTCACGCGTGTTTTCTACACAGAGTAGCAGAAAATAAAAACAAATTGTATTCGCAACGGAGTTTTTGACCGTTGCGTGACGGACGCGTAGTCAATCATTCTTTAAAATCAATTTTCGATAAAATCAAGTTTCTCCTGCAAAATTTCATTTTATATTTTTCTTCCTCTCTTCGCAAAAGAGAAAATAAACACAATAGGAATTATCGCGGACGCAAGCCACAAGTGGCGTGCATTCTGAACAACGAGTATAAAAGAGAAAAAGGAAGAAAAAATCGCGTTTCGATGAATTATCGCACGAACGGGAAAGTGAAAAGCGTGGGAAAAGAGAATCGTTGATGTAGAAACGAGTTCAGCCGGTCGATAATCGTGTGTAACACGTTTAAACTGGCATTATAACAGCCTTATCGGAGCGACACGATGCACGAGATCCCGCACCTGTCCCGAAAGAGTTAATGGTGGTAAAACATCGCGGCCAGAAACAGAGTCATGAATCGTTTGGTATCATTTGCTATCGTTGCTTCGGAACGCTGTCGATCCCGCCTGTTCGATGGTATCGACCCGAAGCAGACCCTGCTTTTGTTATTTACTGGTAAAATCCGGATGTTTTTCGCGACCAGCTAGACGAAGAATATCGCGTCTGTTACGCGCGAGATAAAAAGCGGAGGATCTTCTCTCGAATATCGTCGATATTTTACGATACATTGATTTTCAAGCTTGCTCGTTTCTCTCCGAATAGTCACACGATTCGTTTCATCAAAGAGAAACACATTCCGTTTGGTAGATCGGTTTTTCCTTGATCTCGAGCTAATAGAACGTGTATTTTGCGTTGCGGTTCTTAATCCTTAAATCCTTGAAAGATCGATAAAATAATCTCATGTTGCTTCGCGAGTATTCTAATTCGAAACGAGTATTATAATTCCAATTTCGAAATGTCGCGATCGAGTTTCCTCGTGAAAGAAAACACGGGCGAGTCCTTGGAGAAGGTTTTCACGGTAAAAGAGAAATTAGAATTCTATTTTCCATCTAAACGTTGGAACGATAATCCCTTCGATAAGCAGAGGAAAGAGCTAGAGTCCTTAGAACGAGCTTCGAGTCTCTCACGCAACTGGAAACGCAAAGAGAGAAAAGAGAAGAAGAGAGGTCGATGGCATTATTGCATCGCGTCTGGAAGCCGATAGGAAATTTTTGCATTTGAATTTCCCAGTGAAAGAAGAACGATAATGGACACGATAAGGGTTTCTCTACGACCTATGAAGCATAAGGGAAGATCGCAACAGCCATAACCGGTTACCTTTACAGAGATAAGGGTAGTCGGGACGATCTTGATACCCGTTCAGCGACAGATCTGCTTACCTTCTTTCTTAAACGATCTAGAACATTGCATACGTATCCTTTATCTACCGAACAAGTTTAGACTTTCTGATAGAAGGAAAAATGAAGGACGTTTATTTAAGTCTTAAAAAGATTTCCCGGTATCCGTTATCTCGAACAAGTTAATCCGGCAGACTCTGCTAATAAACATTCACCGTTTCTTTTCTTCTTTTCTGTTGCAGCTCTATCGACACACGTACCTGGCCCGCTACAGGATCGTGAACCTGGAAACCTTGTAAGTAAACGAGCCGCGCTTGCCCATTTAGGATAATCATATCTGAAACTTATTTCCAGCAGGCAGAGTTTTAGATTTGCATTTTAATCTTGCCAGCGTCGCGACGACGGCTGGAAAAGCCTGGCGGCGTGCAAATTACGCTCGCGAATTTCACAGGAAGCCCGTCTTAGCCGCGAAACGCCTCGCTACACCCCCCCATTTCCATACCCTGTCCCCACTTTTCTCGCGCGAGAAGGGAGAGAAGTTCACCTCCCTCTAACGTTGGATCTGGACGTTAATTCGCCGTTTAAGAGTGCTTATATTACGATTAGTGCCGGCGGTGCTCGCCTCGAATTCGTTTCCACCCTCTTTGCCACCGGCTTAATCGTGCTCGTTCGTCCGCCACGAATTTCTCTCTGGAAAATTCAACCTTTTCCCTTATTCTCTCTGCCAGTGGCACAGCGGCACTCATCTCCTAGCTGAATTTGGGCCAGCAGATACATTGTTATTATAGGGGTACGCTAGCTATATGGAAAGGGTTGCAAAGTCGAAAGAGTTGAGAAACACTGTAACTTTACGTATGCAAAGTAAGGATATGGTTATTCGACGCTTTAGAGAAGTGAACGAATTTTGGTTGGAACTTTTCTTTGTTCTGAAAGAGGTTGCAACGAAATAAACGTGAACTTGAGAGGGTTGAAATGCACTGAAATATTTTATGTATCTAACAAGCAATATTGTTCGAAGTGTTGAAGGGTTTAAAAACCCTCCGCGTGTTTGGAAGTTGGACACTTCAGCTTCGAGTTTTCGAGTTGTACCACGTCAATGGACGAAGGTCGTTTTTCAAACTCGAAGGGAATATCGCACAGTTAGGAAAACACAGTGCAGAGTAACGATGCTTCTCTGAGTTATTCTTTAATGACTTTTTGGGGAACGCTTGAGTTCGCCTTGGTCCTCCAGAAGCTGAGGAACTTTGAGTATCTCGGGGATAACTGTAACCCAGATAACTTTAACCCTTCCTCTGATCATCCACTTCGTTTCGTTATTTATTTTCAATTCAACTTCGTGCTTTTGCATAACGTTATCATATTTTTTTATTTTTTAAATCTGAAAAGTTAGACAGAAAAGTCAAGCACGTCGCAAAGAAAATATTCGTTCGAAGAGAGGAAAAAGGATTCTGATTCCGTGTTCTTGATCATACACCGGTAACCCGTTACAGGCGATTCCAATTAGGGCCGATGAACAAAGAGGAACCAGTCTTTGCTTCCCTTTGATATCCGGTGCAATTGCTTCGACGAAATTGCCGGCTGCAAAAAGGTGCAAAAGGTGAGCAAGAATTAGAGGGGGTGAAAGAATGTCGAACTTCGATATGATCGAATCGTAATTGCGAGGGTTGGGAACTTCACGCTTGAACGAGTCGGAGGATTTGTATCGTCCAAGGATGTTGGAGGTTTTTAGGAAATATTCGGTTGAAGGTTTCCAAGCTTTTACGAGACTGTGTAACTGATATTCCGACCAGGAATGTAATTGCTACAAATGGTTAAAGTTGTTTCTATAACAGCAACTAGAATCGTAAGTTTTGCTGTAACTACATCACTGAAGCTCCAGTTATTATTACGGTTAGAACTATCGCTGTAACATAGTTGAAACTTGGACTGTATATATAGTCTACACAGTATAGTCTAGCCAGTCTACACAGTCAGTACGAACGTTTTCTTTTGAGAACCTTTGTTAAAAACCAGCCAGTTAATGTGTTAATTGCAACCTTGTAGTATAGGACTAGTCGACGCAAGTAGTAATTGGTTTTCGCAAATGACTACCTGTTTTCACCGAACGTGTGTACACGCCCTTTGTAGAGGGAAAGGGTTAATGATGTAAGGTGTGTTTAGTAATCGTTATTGTAACGTGCCGTTGTACGCATGGCCATTTTCACGGTAGCACTCAACGCGTTAACGTCAGGAATTTACTAGTTACACTAATCCCTACAAATCGCGATAATTAATCCTTAGTAATGTACGTCGAACTTTGTTTCCTTTATGGCGAACACAAAATTATTATACCAAACTACGGAAAATAATGTGTCCCGCTATGAATTAATGGCCTTTGTCATCAGAGACTCTTTATGGACGCGTTACAACATTTCAGCCCTTTTACCTTACGCGTATTCCTCGTTGCGGGGAAAATTATAATGCCAGAGTAAACGAAGATAGAACAAACTATGGAAAATGATCTAATTTAGACCACAAAGGGTTAATAAACTTGGTTTCCCAAAAGCCTTTGTGTGCAAGTTACATCATTTATGTATCTTCTTTCGCGACATAATTCAAGCAGACATTATAATATTAAAGTACACTGGTAGCATATTAAAAATGGCTTAATATTTTAGAGTGCTTTCTTTGATAGCTTTGTTATTCGCGTTATACGCCGAATAAACAAATTAATGTTTGTCAAACGACGGTAAACGACTGAAAGAACTGTGTCAATAGAGGTACCTTCCTTGAGCGGTTCATAAATATGCTAATCGTTGAACAGGCTGATTTTTTGTTCTCCTAAAGTTGTGAAAGGGCATGGACGAAACTAGTCGATAAGTTAAGAAGAGAAACAGTGTCGTTGGACGTAGTGGGGGGGACGCGCATGAATGACTCGGTTGACGTGACCAGCACGATGAATGAAGAGGGGTTGAAAGCTGTGGGGTGGTAAAGTGCACGCGATGAAACGTTACCCCGTTCCTCTGCTCGTGACATTTTTCTTTGGTTCTCGGAGACGCGTTGACTGCTAAGAGCACAGGGAATTTTCGATGTGCCATCGAAAATGAAATTCGCCCGTCGTCGGCGTCGTCGTCGCCGTCGTCGTCGCCGTCGTCCTCGCCGTCGCCCGTTCGATATGAATTCAGGGATTTCAATTTGCCAATAACTCGCTGTCGCCAACGTGTGAGCGTAGCTCGCGTTGTTCTACTTTTCCACGTTTCCTCATCTCATTTCCAGCCTGAACTTTGTTTATTTCGCTGGACTTTCGATTAGAAAGCTTTGGTAATTTAGATACTATTCAAGTTCACGCGGGTGTAAGGGACAGACGGATTCCTAATTGTTTAGACTAATCGAAAATAAAGTTAACCGAGGAAACTAGCGCAATTGGCTAACGATACATCGGTTGATTCGACGAGTGACCACAGAAGTGGATTTAGAAAATCGCTACCAGTTGTGTGTTGTTAGTAAAACCAGAAACTAGTGAAATCTCAGTTAATCCGAAAGCTTCTGATCGAAATATAAATGGAGAACGAACTGCGAGTGTAGCTGTAAATCCGTGAACTCAATCAAGATATTCTCTGAACACGGAAATACTAGCTAATTTATCTTTGAGCGGGATCTTCCTAAAGCAACCTGCAAACGATTGGTCATAATTAGCACGTTCGCTCTGTTGGCCTGTAAAATGATCTTGTTTCCTTATTTACGTCAATAATTAACTCTCTATCAAGCTTTTGCGCTCTTCAAAGCACGTAGCCAGCTACAATGAACTTCGGAATAATAGCAAGTAATTAACGAGCAATTAACACGCGTAGAAAGATTTAATTAAACACAAGTTGGCGCGATAAACTAGAATTAGAAACTTGATCGGAATCGATGGAGCAACGATTATTTCGTAGATGAACGATTAACCAATTGATCAGATGGTGTGCATCGTTTGTCATTCAACTCTGCTTGAATTTATACGATATCCGAACGAATCGAAACGTTTGGAAAGTTTTTTCCCCAATCCGATTGAAAAATTCCATTGGAACCGTTGCGGTGGAAAAGAATTCCGGCCGCTTCCGAACCGTTCTCTGTTTGTTCAATCAGGCCTTCCCTCTCGGATCAAGTCATTTAAACGAATTTGATCACGACCGATACTCGGCCCGTGCCACACGAACGCACGGAATTCTATCAATTTTTATTCCGCACGATTCACTACGTTCGTTCTTTTCTCCGATTCTATACCATCGGCGATCGTTGTCTGTTTAAGTTTGAAAAGTACGCTGCTGCTTTAGCAATTCGATGTTGCGGCTATAGCCGAAGGAATACGTAATGCTATTGATGTTGTTTCGTTCGGTTATCAGCATCGATCATTCATTGATTGTCCCGGTCGACGAGGATTCAAGATTCAAGTTGCTCCAGATTCCATTCGGGGTCGCGTACGCTCAAAATTTTAACAAAAGCCGATTGAATCCGGTTCGCTTTGGAAAGTCGAGGAAACTTTGTTCTTTTCACGCTTCGAGTCGAGTGCAGTTCACTCGGGATCGGACTTCCCTTTTCTTTTTTTTTTTTTTTTTTTTTCGTTCTTAATCCAGCGGTGTTCTCTTGATCAATTAGCAGGAACAAATTGGCCTTGTCCGGAAGTGAGTTCACGGATTGAAATCAGAAATCGAAGCGGGGAGACTGGACGAGATCTCGGGCACATAAAGCCGGGTTTCTACGCTACGTGAATACACCGCGTCTTTATTTATGGGCTCTCGCGAAGCAGTTTCCTTTGAGCGTAGAAGCTGGACAGAGCGACTCTCTGGCATTACGACAGAGCCGAGTCGCGAAACTTTCCATCGATTTTACCACCTCCTTCTCTCTGCCCTTACTCCGTCCTTCGTCTGGCCGTGATACATTTTATAAATTCTATAAAATCCCTCGGTTCTGCAAGATACTCGCTGCTCCCTTTATTCCTCCACGCCAGTGAGCGCCGCGGCACAGCGCGGCGTTTCCTCTTCCTGTGATCCTCCTTTTTACGTCGACCGTTTCCTTTTCTCCTGATACCGGTTAAGGCTCGTTACCGTGAAATCCGTCGCTGTCCTCCGAGCATTATTTCTTCCTCCGTCTTTGATACCATTTGCTTCGATTCAATGTATTTTCTGATAGGTATTATTAACTTTACGAATGTTCCTTCCAAACGTCTGGCAGTTATCGAAATCGCAAGTAATATTTATTAGAAGGTTTATTTCTAGATTTGAAAATTAATTAGAAATATTATTACCATCGATCGAATATCTTAGACGACTAGGTCAAACTACCCCGAGTTTCTTATTCGAACCAGGTAGAACATATATTTCAACTCTAATGGTAATAAAATGCAAACGAGATGGGGAAATATTTTTGAAAAGGATAGAAGAAAAATATTTCATTTTTTCCTTGAAATCTAATCCAAGGAGGGTTAGTTCATGACCAACTCGTTCAATTAATTTAACAAACGAGACATTCGTTCCAGGAATCTCGAGGTTAATTTCGTTAAAGCAATCTTAGATAATTTTTCCGTGGAAAATAAAAAGCAAGAAGATCGAGCTTGTTCCTATTTTCTTAAACTTCTCGGCGAGGCATCGTAAATTCCTTAAGCCAGCATTTAATTTCAACCGAGTTTAACAGCCCCCACGTGCGTATATCTGCTCGGCATACGGATTTCAATTCTCAAGTGGAAATAACGTAACGCGCGTTACATTCTTTATTATACACCCGTGGCAACCTTGCCAGCCTAGTGTAGTCGCTTTTAAAAGCTATTAGCGAATTCCGACGATACCTTAACGGCCCTCATAAATATAAAAGGGCTTCGATCAATCGGACCGAGCTACTCGTAGGATGCCGGTCTTGGGAAATTATGCGGACCACTCGAGCGAATAGGGTAATTCCAAGACCGATGGCCCTCGTTCTTCTGAAAAACCTTTCAGTTTTTTCAAATCAATCATGTTAGAAATACTAAATATTTCAACGGTTTGGCTATTGGATGAACACTCGAACGGAGGCGTGTCATTTGCAAGGACGGGACAAGTATCCTCTCCGTCTGTTATCTAGCAAAGAAGATCTCTGTTTCAATAAAAATCCCGAATTCAAGATCCTTACATTGAATATTCCACCGCGGTGACGAACACGTTACGTAAAGAAAGAATCATGAAAATCCTCGAAACGTCCTCGTAAAATACATTGTTCCGTCATAAAAAAAAAAAAGAAGAGAAGAGTGGAATTCATCTACATCTCTTTTCGAAACGCAAACTTCTCTCTTCCCATTCAATTAGACGACGAACCCTGGCACAGTTTGTCTGAGATAAGGGATACGTAGCTGAAGGATTCGAACATCGATCGTTCGGATAAATATTAATCAAGGTTGCGATTGTAATCGGGGGAGAGAAAAAAAAAATCCTTCTTCTCTGGTTTGCTTCGGTAGGGATCGTTTCCTGTAATGCGGCAATCTCGATGGTCCATAGTGCTTTGGTTTACGTTCGAGTTGCCTTTACTGCTACTAAAATAAGGATCCCTCTGATCCTGGCGAGAGGATCGTGTATGCATTCGATGGTAATCGGAAACACGCTTGCGGCCTCATGGCCTTTACGCTTGTTCGCCTTTTGTTCGTTTGATATCGGTTAGAACACGACCAGTTTCTTCGGGGCAATTTCGATAGAATTTATCAGATCTGATCGGATCGGATGGCTGACTTGTTACAGAGTTTCATCGCTATCCCCATCGGCAAATAGAATGCTTAATTAATTAGAAGAGTATACGTATCGCTGTTCATTTACATGCATACCGTTTTATCGACACAGTGTTAAGAACCCTGTTTCGTTTTATCCACTTTTCTTCTCTCGATCAACGAATACCATCGTTAATAGCCCGGAGTTTGCAGAGAGGAGGGAATTGGTAACGATGTCAGGATATTTGCATAAGCTTGGCGAACGGTACAGGGTAGATAGAGAGGTGTAAGTTTGACGATCGCATAACGTTTCACATCTGACTCTGGGGTTAATTGAAATTAATTCGCGAACGTATTGTTTCTCTAACGATGGTGACTCCCACGAAATTTGCCTCTATATTATTCCAGCTGACAAATGTAACCGAGTTAGAGTTCTATTATTTATTTTGTTCTAACGAGTGTTGAAATGTTTTTGTTTCAGATCAGACACGTCGTTGACGTCGAACGATTCGATTTCCCTCCAACTGGCTACCTGGGCACCCAGTGGCAACGCGTTGGTCTACGTGTATCAGAACAACATCTATTACAGACCGGAAGCGGAAGTGGATGTCGAGTATCGTATCACGGATACCGGAGTCTTCGGGACCATTTATAACGGAGTGCCAGACTGGGTGTACGAAGGTAAGCTACCTCCAACGGAAACTATCACGAGATCCGTTTTATTATTCATAGGATATCACGTATTTAATCGGCTTAACCGCCATTTTGCGACGAGTATTTAGCCGAAACGTGTCGATTTCACTCGAACGATTTCCTCGATCATAGCTCTTTAAACTTCCCGTTATTTGCTTTCGACGGTTAGACGAATTTAGCATTTCAATGAATTTGACATTTGCGAGATCAGCGAAAGGGACAATTGCACGAGAGAACGCGTTAAACTAGCTAGCGGTTTCGTTAATAACAACGGAACCACTGTCTGCCAGTTCTTCTGGAATAAACAAGCATCACACGGTTGAATTCACGTGGTTCGAAGCGGAAGCAACGTTATCGGCGACGAGCTAGTTCTACACGCTTCGCCATGGAAGCGTATACTTCAAAATAAACTGAACAACGCGGTACGATGATTCGGGACGGGCGCAATGAAAGGGCTACGCACGCGGTTTCCGAACCGCGGACCAACAATTTCGCTAACGAGTCTCCGATTTGTCGTTATCATCTTTTAGCCTGGCTGTGGTTGGAAATTTTTAAATGAAAAAAAAAAAAAAAAGAAAATTATTTCTGCTTTCATCTGCTTTCCAAATCACGAACGAACAGTTAACACAGCTTGGTTCGCACGGTGAAACAAAAGAAATCCCACGTCGAATCGGGAGTGTTACTATCAGAGAAGGTTAAACCACTACCCCTCCTCGAAATCCAGCGTGAACACGAGGAAAAGAGGGCGCGTTGCTTTTTTTTTCTTTTTTTTTTTTCGTCGAGCTTTTAGCAACGGGTTCGCCACGCTTTGTACGCGTGCCGGATGAGTTTTCGCTCCCGGAACAATAATATGTGCCAGGGCCGTAATTCACACAGCTGATGCTCCAGGGGACGTAGCATGCGTTTGCATATTTCTGAGCCTTCGTCAGCCCTCCACCCTCCGTGTCTCTCTCGCTTCTTGCTCGTCGTATGGTGTATTTCGCTAAATCGTGACCGTGTTGACGAGCTAACGGATGAAGCATAAAAATTCATCAGAGAAGACCGTTGACGGCAGACGCAACCAACCAGCTAGAAACAGTTTTTCTTTTTTCATCCCCCTTTTTTTCGGACCGTGGCTCGATTCGATTCAGTGCCAGACATCTAACCGTCTCTGTGCAAATATTTGAACACGACTACGCTATTAATGTTGCTTCGAGTCCTTTGGATGATTTCCGGAACGTCTATCTTCCTCCATGTTCGATTAGATAGAGACAAGATTCGAGTAAACCCCGTTTGCTCTTAATTGCTCGCCGATTGTCACGAGCTGTATTCCATTTCGAAGCTAAATTACGAACAGAAAATTTACCGGTTTGTTTGCTTATGAAAGGGGCAGATTTCAGGTTTTGTTTTCACGGTAGGAGGCGCGAATTTGTCTAAGAGACGAGGGTATAATGGCTATAAAGTTTCGAAGGTTTCATTCTAAAATATCGCCTGGATATAGAATGTCGCTGAATAAAATTTACTTTTAAAAAAAAGGAGAGTTTCATAAGTATTCTTCTCGTTCGGAATATGGTCTTGAAAGTATCTCTTTCAATAAAAAAAAGAAGAAGTTCCATCAAGCATTCTTCTGGTTGTGGCTTCCTCTTGAACATTCTTCGGTGAACGTTTTCGACGCGTGTATCGATGCTCGAGTGATTTCACGCGGGGTGAGCTGCGACCCGTTCCGATGGGAGAACGTCGATAAAGTGTCAAAGCGTCGGACGAAAGGCGTGCCAGGAACTTTTCAACAGCCTGTATTTTGTTCACCGTCAGCCAAAGACTTTCCTGCTGACGACATACTTTATCCGGTTCGGCCTGGAGCGTGCTCCAAGGATTTCGTCGGCAGGAATTTAGGATAAAGACTGATTTACGCGTGCCTCTTCTCTTCTCTTCTCTTCTCTTCTCTTCTCGCGTGTCCTGCTATCGATTTCCATGCTTTCCAATGCGACCAATCCATTCCCACCACTCGACGGACAATTTAAAGAGAATCGTTTATTTAGGGTATCATGAAACGTTTACGAAGGCTAACGCGTTCCTTTAGTAGAATATTATCGTGGTTTCCAGGCGACCACTTTGATTTTCATATCAGCAATGCTGCTAATGAAATATAGAGGCAACCCTTGTCAAAACTCCGGGCATCCGCGTTCCTTGAATATGCCACGTTGGATAAATCCGGTACGTACAAATTTAATACCACCTAGGATTAGAGGGTTTGCGTGAACGTGGCCGTTGAATCCCCAAACTAATTCCTTGATGCATACGTTACGTTAACATACGAGCAAAGTGACAAATATTAATAGCGGTTAGAAGCAGAATCTGTTCGACTTAAATGCTTAGTAAGAAACGACCGAAAAGATCCTTTCAATTTTTAATCCTCAAACGACAGAGCTGAATTTTTGCCCATTCAATGTTCGAAAGGTTAACTTCGATGAGATCCGAGATTTCAGATCCTCCTTTCAAAGGATCCTCTGTCTTACCGTCTGAAAGAATCTGAAAATAGACGGAAATGAGACGAAGAGAACGTCACCGATGAAAGAGCAGGTTCCTGGAAACATCCAAAGTGCTGGTAAAGCAGTTACACAACTTATAAATCTCTCTGAGTGACAATTAGTGGATCCTCGTTTTCCTATCCGCCAAGCCAAGTCCCTCTCGGCACATAGCACATTCCCAAGTGGTATTTCAGCCACTTCTTCCGACAATTAATCCTCGGCAAACATTTTCTCATCAAGCAACCGCTCGCTCTTCCAAAGGATAAAAAAAAAAAGCAGCGATATCCTTCATGGCAAACATTTGTTTTCGCGGATCGCCGATATTTACACTGACACGTGCACCACACCGGGTACGAAACGAGCGAGCATTTTTTAACGGATCCCCAACACCGGTTCGGGAACAATATTTTACAGTCACTTTGCATATGCATTACTCGTGATGAATCCTGTCCGGTCTGTTGGCAGTGCTGCCGTCGAGACACGTTCATCACTATGGTAGATTTTTATTTTTCGCAGATTTTAAGCCACTCTGCTTCTACAAAATTCTGCTGTACTTAATTACCGATAATTTAATAAGAATTACTTGTACATTCGTGTCTACGAGCTGTGTATTTTATAGAAAGCAAATTCGCAATCGAGAAGTTTGAAAACTTTGCCTCTTAAGGTCCCTGCGCGCTAAAGGAAGTTTCGTCACCTTATAAAATCGCAACATCCGTCGAATCAGACTGGTTCAAAGTCACCAACTTTCTTCCGACCAAGTAAAACATCACCGTTGTTTTCAGTTTCGATGGAAAATAGCGAAAGAAGAAGTTGGTTATTTTTCTTTTAACTTAAAACTGATCGGGTAAGTAGAGTAGGAGCGCGTAAAGTCAGCCAAGAGTCAAGCGCCAGGCTAGTAGTATTAGCCAGCAAGTGATCAGACATACGTGATTAGGAGGATACAACGGTACGTGATCAGACAGCTCGCAGTAGAATAGGACAGGGGGGAATCAAACTCGGGTAGTCAGTAGAATAGGACAATGCTTGGTCAGACTGGCTGGCTCGCTAGAATAGGATGTTCTTTTTCCACTTTTCGTTCACTTCTTTGTTCGAATAATATCTTTCCTTGAATGTCATGTCTTACGAACAGCGAATTGTTCTCGGAAAGACGATTAATTACCAAATCCTATCAATTCGAGAATTGGATAATTATTCTTAATGACAATAATTTCATTTCGAAACAGTGGAATAGAACGATAAGTGATTTAACAGAGAAGCCAGCGAAATGGGGCTGCAAATAGTCAGGCGGAAATCAGTAGAACAGGGTCGCAGGTGGTCAGACATATCGCGTTAATGAAATTCAACGCGGGTGATTAGACGTACACGCCACTGGGGTGGGACTGCAAGTGATAATTGATTAGTATAGGATTGCACGACGAACACAACCTTAGATGGACTTATTACATAAGTCGAATAGTGTCATTAAAAATCGAACGTATCGCGTCAGTAGAATATAATTATTCGTGGATAGACGTATCGCGTTATGATTAATGAACCATAGATAGTCAGACGTATCGTATCTCTACTGGAGAGTCATTGATAATCGCGGGCGTACTATATCAGTAGTATAGGATCATATGTGGGCAGGGAATCCACATCAGTAGATTATGGCCTTAGATAATCAAACAAAGGTCGAACTACTAACAATGGGCCCGTGTGTGGTTAGCACAGGATCATAGTAACACACGTAAGTGGTCAGACGTGCTGTATCAGTAGACCTGGAAGAAGCCACGTGTGCCACTGCAGTAGAATAGGAGTACAAGTGGTCAGACATGCCGCATCAGTAGAATAGGAACGTAAGTAGTCAGACGTGACGCGTCGCGTCGGTAGAACGAAGTCATAGGTGTTAAGACGGATAGAAATCCCTACAATAAGCCCGTATGTGCTTCCCAGAGTTTCAGATCATTAGAATAAAACTGCAGATGATTAAACAAATTGAAACTAGAAACAGTAAACTAGAAATACGGGTGTCCTACTTTGAAATCATCACTTTTATCATGTAAATTTGTATAAAATGTATTTAAGTATCTACGAAGTAAATGAAAACGTTTCTTTCTAAATAGAGTTAACGGAATGAAGAAATCGGATCGAATAAAAGAACATCCGTTTTACTGGAATTTGTTTCCCTCCTTTCTACATCTTTCGTAGAACGCCGTCGCAATTTCTGCGCCCGTCAGAGTTACGCCGGAAACACGATAGCAATTCCCCGCGTTCCAACGGAACTTCGATCCCTTCATTGTTTTTCTTCGGCAGAAGGAAGGAGGTATCGCGATCGCGCCCCGTCGCGTCGAATCGCACCGAACCGCCACTCGATCCATCTTCTTTCTTGACAATACTCGACCGTTCGCCGGTTGTGTAATGCTCGTGGAATATCTCGTTTTGTTATCGGTATAAGTCGACGAGCTTCTTGCCCCGGGGAAATTCATTTGCCCAGTCACGAAT